AAAAAGCCCTGTTGAAAACATGGTTCCATTGTCCTGTCCCCTAGGGAGCCTCAGGCCATTGTTTTTAAGAGGGCTTCCCCTAGAAGTCTTTCTGCCAACACCCACCACCTTGGCAACACAGCCTGTACAATAGCAGGTTCTCGACAGGTGCGGTGGCTCACGCCTGTAATCGCAGCACTTGGGGAGGCTGAGGCAGGCAGATCACCTGAAGCCAGGAGTTCGAGACTAGCCTGGCCAACATGGTGAAATCCCATCTCTACTAAAAACACGAAAATTAGCCGGGCTTGGTGGTGGTCACCTCTAATCCCAGCTACTTGGGAGGCTGAGGCAGGAGAATCCCTTGAACCTGGGAGGCGGAGGTTGCAGTGAGCAGAGATCACACCACTGCACTCCAGCCTGGTCAACAGAGTGAGACTCTGTCTCAAAAAGAAAAAAGCAGATTCTCAAGTCAGAGGGACCAAGCTGGAGGCCCAACCTTGAGACTTAGATGTGCGGTGGCCCTGGGCAATGTACCTAAACTCTCTCGACATCAGCCTCCTTGTCTTTTAAATGGGTCTAATAATGTGACTTACCCCACAGGAGCAGTTGTGCGGATTAAATAATACAATAATGTAAAATATTTATTACAACTCCAAGCATTTAATAAGCACTTACTAAACACTAACCGTTTTTACTATTAATTGGCTATTGGGTAAGTAAGTCCCTGAAGCTCTCTAGGTCTCAGTTTTCTTATCCATAAAACAGAATGAGGTGGGAAGGAGGTAGGACAACCTAATTTTTTAATGTTCCTTCCTGCGCTGGCATTTTATGGTTCCAGGCACGTGTTGCTAATGAAGGGTAAAGACAAAATAGTATTATAAAACTCTAAAAGATGTTTTGCTTCAGATTCCTGGATAAAACTCTCCCATGAAGGCAAATTCAATGGACACAAGTTTCTTCTGAATTACATCTGGACAAGGGAAATTAGCATTCAGCCTCTGTGGCTCACTAGCTGACCTTGCAAAGCCTCAGTTTCCACATCTGTCAAATGGAGCCACTTTATGAGGTGGTTGTGAAGATAAATGAGTTTACTCTCATAAGGTGTTAGCACAGTGGCTGGGACCAGTTAGTGTGTGCTCAGCGCTGGCTGACAATATCGCAGAATCAGGAATAAGCAGATTGATCCTTGAAACCTGTTGAGCCACTCAGCCAGCCCTGCAGTGGCTGTGGACACGGGGCCTGCTTCCTCAGGAAGGTCAACCACAGCACCATCCCCCAGAACAGAGTCCACCAAGGAGGCCTCCCCAAGCCTAGGGCTGCTGGCCCGCAGGAAGGGGGATAGAATGCCAATCTTACCAGGCCGAGGTTCAGAGAGTTGTTGTCATCTTCGGGCATGGGCAGGTACACGGCCAGGGCCACACAGTTGGCAAAGATGGTGAGCAAGATGATCATCTCGAAGGGCCTGCAGCCAGGGTTAAGGAGAGCCCTTGAGTGAGGCCTGGGACTTACAGGGTTAAGGGGAAGAGGGAGCTGAGGATCAGCCTGGACTGTGACTCTGACGCCAGGCTGGTGGACAGGCTCTTTCTTGGACACTTGTCCACTCTGCTCCTTCCCTCAGCCCCTGGCAGGGTACAGCGAGGACCAGGTTCCCGCCTTGACATCTGGCTCCCTCTCCTCAGGAACGAGCCACTTCCACGTAGATGCCTTGGAATGACAAAGATCTGGTACCTGGGGGTCTTCACACAGCCCCACTCTCAGTGCCTGCCCACGCCCTTCTGCTCCCAAGGCCAATCTGCAGGGGTTCACCCAGAGAAATGGCACGGGAGGGTAAGGGTTGATGTAGGGTAAGGTTGAGAACTCACCGAGCAGGACTGGGAACGAGGGATGGGGAGATGAAAGCTGAATTTCCGGAGCCATGTGCCCCTTCTGGTGTGCTCACACCCTTCACACCTCACCCCTCCCAGGCACACCTACCCCGCCACAGCCATTTCCAGAGGACATCCCAGGCCCATGGCTTTCTTAACTTTCTGACCCATTAGATGACAAGTGTGAAAAGAACTAGATGAAGCAAGGGAGGAAGCGAGGGGGTTGTCAGGGGGCGAATGGGGAGGCATATTATGTAGATGAGCTTGACAGAAAAACCCCATTCTCTTCCCAGTAACCTCCAATGTCTGTGAAGAGAGGAGGGCCACAGGGGGCTATGGGAGGGGAAGGCTCAGAGGAGCAGAGGGTGGAGGAGAGGGAGAGCCCACAGGGGAAAGCCGATTGCAGAGAGGCAGGAAGGAGGGCCCAGGAGGGTTTGCTGCGGACAATCCACCGACCTGGCTGAGAGCAGGTGAGGGCAGCGGGGCTGACCTTGACCCCAGACTATCTCCACTTGCCCCACATTTCCCTTGTCCTTCCCGTTATCCCTCATTCTCTTTCCTTCTAGGGAACAGCTGGTGGGCGCCCAGCCTTCCAGAACTCCTCAGAAATATTTCAGATATGCCGACCCTCGCTCCCAGCGCCCACTTGACACAGGCCTCTCCCTCTCTCCGCCACTCCTTCCTCCCTTCCCCAAATAACCCAGATAGTTTCATCATTCTTCCTCCCAGAGCAGAGGAAAACACAGCATGGGACTCGAAGTCCCTGTCCCCAGGGTGGCCTGTCTGCGCTAGAACAGCCAGGCTTGCTTGGCCTGCACCTTGGAGCCACTCAGGGCAGGCGTCTCGTGGATGCGTCTCCCTTTGGCTCTGTCCTCAGCTGGGACGCGCCCCCAGAGGAAGACTTCCCTCAACTCACCTCTCCACTGTCACCTCCCATCCAACCCAATCAAGGGAGAGTTATCTCAAAGAGGTCATCGTGTCTTTTTTGGGTCCCTATCCTATTCCAAAATGAGGCTGATGCTTCAAAAACCTAGTGACACCTCATGGTAATGTGGATTTGGGCACGCCTGGGAGCAGTCCCCATGAAACCAGCCCCACTCATAGGTGGTCAGTAGGTGTCTCTGGTTGTCACACAGGACTTGGGAGGCCCACGAAGGCCCAGGAAGCCCCACCAAGTCCTCCCACCAAGTCCTCCTCCTTCTCTTTCCTCCTCTTCTTCCTCCTTCTCCTCCTCCTTTTCCTCTTCCTCCTCCTCTCCTGCTAAGCCGAGGGCTCCTTCCCAGGCTCCTCACTCCATTCTGTGGGTTCACCCCATATCTAAGTTCTGGGTCTCCCTGGCCCTCCTGTAGAAAGTTTGTGCTCTGTGACGGCCCCACATCCCTCCCCCATGACACACACTCCCCCATGGCCCGGACCCCGAAGGATACTTCCATTCCACGATGCTGATGCAGGCCTTCCTCAGGGGGTTCTGCAGGGTCAGGCAGAACAAGGCCCGGGGTGGCCTTGGCAGAATCTCAGGAGCTGGCTTCTTGGGCTGTTTCTTTCTCAGGCCTTCATCCTGGGGTGAGGACGGCTCCATGGCTCCCCTGGTAACCTGGCTTTCTCCTGCTCCCTCACCCCAGTACCTTCTCTTCCCTGTGTCCCCAATGCCCCCGCCTTGGGGACTGGGCTGGCTGAGGCTGTCGGCTCAGCCTGCCCTGCTGAGCCAGCCGGGGGGGGGGGCGGGGGCAGGAATGGGGGCAGGAGGATTACTCTCCTTGCTCCCAGCAAGTAAAATTAGCTTCCACTCGGCTCCCTGCTGCCGGGCCTGAGCTCCCAAGGCCAGGCAGCTGTCATTCCACCCAGCCCAGCCAGTGACTTCCCAATCTGTCCCCTGAGGAGGGTGGGGGGTGGGGGGAAGAACCTACACACAGGCCTGGGAGGGGACAGGGGCAGTGGGAGAGGGAGACAGGATGGAAGGTTTCGAGCCTGGGGCCAGAGAGGTAAGGAAGGGGTAGCCTTCGCTATGAAACTTCCAACTGCAGAGTGGCCCCCTCATGCCAGAATTAGGTTTCCCCCTCCTCAGCCCCATGACATTGTCTGGAGAAGGCGCTGGGCAGCCTAAGTCAGGACAGCTCCACAGCACCCCCCGCCCCCCCGACACACACACACATAGCCATCTCAGTATCTGCACCATCAGCCAAGACTCCCCAAGCATACCCTCACCCGACACCCAAGCAATCCCATGTCAGGGAAACAGTAAACGCCTCCCCAGCGGGCTGGGAGGCTCCCAGGACAGCCCCGAGTGTGCACACCTGACATAGCACCTGCATCACTGTGGGAACCTGCTGTGCATCTTTCTTCCCCACTTCCTGCCACCCCTACAGGTGTAAAGCTTGTGTGCTTCATCTCTGGGACTCTGGCCCCTCCTCTGGAGAGTTCCCCACATATACCACACTCCCTGTGTTCACTGAGGCCAGGCATGTTGGCTCATGCTTGTAATCCCAACACTTTGGGAAGCCAAGGTGGGCAGATAGCTTGAGCTCAGGAGTTCAAGACCAGCCAGGGCAACATGATGAAACTCTGTCTCTACAAAAATTCCACAAATTAGCAGGGTGCGGTGGTGTGTGCTGTAGTCCCAGCTACTAGGGAGGCCAAGGTGGGATGATCAGTTGAGTCGAGGAGGTTGAGGCTGCAGTGAGCCAAGACTGGGCTGCTGCACTCCGGCGTGGGTGACAGAGTGAGACAAAAAGTTCATTGAGGCCAGGTGAGGTGGCTCATGTCTGTAATTCCAGCACTTTGGGAAGCAACGGTGGGCAGATCACTTGAGGTCAGGAGTACAAGACCAGCATGGCCAACATGGTGAAACCTGGACTCTCCAAAAATAAAAAATTTAGTGGGCATAGTGGTGTGCGCCTATAATCCCAGCTACTCTGGAGGGTGAGGCAGGAGAATCGCTTGAGCCCAGGAAGTGAAGGTTGCAGTGAGGAAGGGTCACATCACTGCACTCCAGCCTGGGAGACAGCAAAACCCTGTGGCAAAAAAAAAAAAAAAAAAATTCATTGAACCTCTGAGCTAACAGTGCACCCCACATACCCTCCCAGCAAGTACTCTGGACTGGGTTCGGGAATGAGAAAGGGGCACCAGGAAGGGTGAGGGTAGACAGTGATCTAGGAATGAGAAAATTCAACAATCATTTTATTTAGCTCTTTGGTGCCAACACAGTGCCAATGTACCCATATGCACACCCCTTCCCCCAAGGCTTACAGTCTGAGGAAAAAACACAGAGTCCCCACCCAGCCTGGGACGAAACTAGACGAACTCATTGCGGGGGCGGGCAGGGAGTGATCGCCCCCTACCAGGGAAGCCAGAGAACGCCACCAGGGCACACAGGTCGCCTCTGCTAAGTCTGTGGGTTCCCTCTGGGCTGAGCGCTGGCAGCAGTCTGGTCTCCCATCCCCTCCTCTGGGTTCCTTTCTCAAGGGCCAAACGCGCTCCCGAAGTCGTTTGTATTTGAGGCCATCTGGTGGAGAGCAGGGCGTATAACCGAGGGATCAAAGCCGGGCTCGCCTCTCGCGGACTTGCAGAGACTGGGCTGCGCCTGGGGCGAGGAAGGACGGACCGGAGCCACCTGAGGCCGAGCGGGAGCCAGATCCAGGGATGACCGTCCTGGGGTGCCCCCCTGCACCCCGGAGGGAACGCAGCGCGCCCGGAGCAGTCCCAGGCCCTGCCCCTCGCTGCACCGCGGAGCTCCTCAGGTCTCCATCGCGCCCCTCGCACCCCTTGCCCGCACTTCTTCCCCAAGCTGGTGGAGGAGGGAGGGTGTCGCAGACGCGGGAGCGCAGCGGGCCTCCTGCAGTCACCGGCTTGCGGCGCATCGCGGGGGACCCAGCAGCCCCCCGCTGCTCCCGAGAGTGGGACGGGGCGGGCGGATCAACCCCCAAGCCGCGGGCGGCCACAGGCCCCTCAGTGGCAGGATTCCTCCGACTCCAAGAAAGGCGACGGGGAGAAGCAGGAGGACTCGGATGACTCCGGCACCAGGGAGGACGGCGCCCGGGCCTCGCCGTCGCCGGGGCGGTCGGGCCGGGGGGCGGCTGGCGGCACGGGGCAGGGCCCGGTGCCCGGGAGGCCGCGGGCGGCGGGGGGCGGCGCGCCGTCGGGGGCCGCGCTCAGCAGCTCCTGCAGGTACTTGATGTAGCGGATGGCGGCGCGCAGCGTCTCCACCTTGCTGAGCCGCTTCTCGGCCAGGGCGCCGGGGAGGTGGCCGCGGAGGCGCGCATAGCCCTCGTTGACGCACTTGACGCGCTGCCGCTCGCGCTCGTTGCGCTTCTGGATGAAGGCTGGCTCGAAGGGGTAATCGTAGACCCCGAAGGCGCCGGGGAAGGGCACGTAAGGGAACACCCCCGCGTAGGCGTCGTAGTAGGGCGGCTCGGCGGGCCCCGGGTACAGCAGGAAGGGCACGTTGCCCAGGGGCTCGGCGCGGGGCAGGGGCGCCTGCCGGGGAGGGGGAACGACGCCCAGCTGCATGCAGCCGGGGGAGCCCAGGGGCCTCCGGTCCACCAGCGCCCGGCAGAAGTTATTGTTCATGGTGCAGCGTGGAGCTGGACCCGGAGCGAGGCCCCCAGCGAATGGCCCCTGCTTGGGGTCTGCACTGTCTCCACCACTGGGTCGAGTCACATCGCTGGCAGCAGCTCGGGGGTGCCAGGACTTGCTAGGGCCTCTTCTCGCCCTTTAGGGTGGCTTCCGAGAACTCCCTAAAAGGAGTCATCGCCCTGGACAAGTGTGGCCCCTCCCAGGGGGTCGATGCCCGCCTTCTCAGATCCAGCCCATGGCGCCGCGGAACTCTGGGGGCCGTCACCCCGCTCCACAGCACCCATGGGCACCGCCACAGACCCGTGCGCCCTGCCTCTTCCTGCCGCCCAACATGGGCACCTCCGGCCTAAACCCCAGGTTCCATGCCCCCTCCGCCACCCCAGCGCCTGGTTCTTGGTCCTCACGGCCTCGGGATCCCTGGGCTGTCAGGGGTGCTCACGCTGATGGCTGCTGTTAGGAGTGCACCAGCTAGACGGAGGGAGTCCGGGGAACATTCTACGGAAGAGGAGAGGAGAGTGAACATATCAGTTAGGAAAGGCCTGTACTATGGGCTTCTTTGTAGCATCCTCACCCACAAACGGGACTGTAAGCCTCAGGAGGAGAGACAGTTGGCTGCTGAAGGTGCACATATCTGGCTTAAAATCTTGTGCCCACCCCTTTCATAGTCGGGTGACCACTGTGAGTGGTGGTTCCCATAATGGAAGGACAAGGGAAACATCCTCAACAGGATATTCATAAGATATGAGAATCAGATGTGAAGAAATATATGCAAAACACCTCCTAAAGGGCATAGCTTATACAAATGCCCAATTTTGTCATGTCCCTCAAGAGTGGGGATTAAGTCTCATCACTGATCCCTTCCAGGGCTTTACATCTAGGAGGTCTGAGACCGTCTATTGAATTAGCAGCAGCAGCCATCAGCCAACAAGGGAAGCCATGTCTTCATGGAAAGGAATGCCCATTTGATTACAAGGTAGGTGTTGTTGGGCCGTTCAAGGCCCTCTGCCTGGCATAGACAGTCATCAAAGCCATCTTGCCCCTTTCCAGATGGTCTGGGAGACACCGTCTGACCCCACCCTGGGTTTCTCCATGGCACCTAAAGGAGTCGCCTGTTCTTTCACCTGCATGCCCCAAGCCTAGCTCGCCCCTGTCGAGTAAGGGATGCTCCACAAATACGTGTGGAGTAACTGAGAGGATTAGGCAGAGAGCTGGGCCTGTCAGGTTGGGACTGATTACACGTGGCCTTTCACAGGCTTTAGGAAGCTATTATTTCAGAAATGCTTGGTCTATGTTGAGTTTAGGTGCCACCAAGCTTCATTGCATGTGGTTATCAGATCCAAGTGAGGTGCCATTTTGTCTAGGAAGCCTCTCTGATCCCACTCCCCCCTCTCGTGTGTGTCTGCAGTGTCCCATAAGTGCCATGTTAGCACTTATTGAACTATCATTTTTCTCTTCTTCATAAAAAAAGCTCAGGACTCAGCAAGTGAATGAGTGATAGGCAGTGTGACAACTTGGCCACGGGGGACAGCCTCCCCAAGAGACAGAAAGGGCTGACTCGCTCCCTGACAGGCGGCAAAGTCAGATTCCTGAGAATGTTTCTTTCTGCACTCTCTCACCTCCGTCCTTTTTGCAAGCCCTGATTCTGTTTCCAGCTGGCTTTGCCCTCCACGCTAAATGAGGACCAAGAAAAATCAACAATGATTCTAAGCATCACGGACTTAGATATGCTCTCAAGAGTGAAACCAGGCTGGGCCCAGTGGCTCACGCCTATAATCCCAGCAGTTTGGGAGGCTGAGGTGGGTGGATCACTTGAGGGCAGAAGTTCAAGACCAGTCTGGCCAGCATGGTTGAAACCCCGTCTTTACTAAAAATACAAAATCTAGCTGGGTGGGCTGGTGGGCACCTGTAATCCCAGCTACTTGGGAGGCTGAGACAGGAGAATCGCCTGAACACGGGAGGTGGAGGTTGCAGTGAACCAAGATCATGCTACTGCACTTCAGCTCAGATGACAGCAAAGCTACACACACACACACACACACACACACACACACACACACACACACACACACAAGTGAAACCAAATGTCTGAGAATTCAGGACAAATTCACATATCCCTCCCCTTCTCAGTGGCCTTCAAAGGCTCCCCGTTGCTTTCAAGAAAAGGTTCTAGAAAATGTCTCCCAAATAGACCCTCAGATCTATCAAGCCAGTCTTCTCTGGATCTGTTTGCTCTCCTGATCTCACACTTGGCTTATGCTGGCTCTGGTCCGGGGGGTCCTCTCTACGCCTCTCTGCTTTACCCAGAGTCCGGCCATCCTCGATTCTAGCTCCTGCCCATCCTGACTGCCCGAGCTCTCCAGCTTCCAACATGGGTTGTACATTCTAAGGTGGCACATTCTTTTTGAGGTTGTGCATTCTAAGTCTTCAACCAGAATGTAAGCAGCCGGAAGGCAGGGGCTAGGGCTTTTATTTCTCAGGTAATGCCTATCAGTCCTTCCTCAGTGCTAGGCACATAATGGGAGCTCAAAATGATTTTCCAGCAGTGCTCCTTCATTATACTGAGTTGGGATCCAGATTGCACTCTCCCATATGATTCCTGTCTATTCATATTGGATTTAATTTTTTTTTTTTGAGAGGGAGTCTCGCTCTGTCACCAGGCTGGAGTGTAGTGACGTGATCTTGGCTCACAGCATGCTCCTCCTCCCAGGTTCAAGGGATTCTCCTGCCTCAGCCTCCTGAGTAGTTGGGACAACAGGCTCGCACCACAACGCCCAGCTAATTTTTGTATTTTTAGTAGAGATGGGATTTTACCATGTTGGCCAAGATGGTCTTGATCTCTTGACCTGGTGGTCTGCCTGCCTCAGCCTCCCAAAGTGCTGGGACCACAGGCATGAGCCACCGCACCCGAGCTTGACTTAATTATTTAAATTTAATTTGATAGAGGTCAGAAGTTTATGACAATTTTAACAAATACAACTATCTGTTCGTGTTGATTCAATATTTATAACTTATTTATTTTCCTCATATACTATTTATATTTTTTCATATAACAATTCAGAAAGGTGATTCAGACAAGAAATCTCACAGCTGGACCATGTATTTCTTAAGCCAGTTCTGTCTTTATTGTTAGAAAAGAACTGACAGGCCAGGTGTAGTGGCTCACACCTGTAATCCCAGCACTTTGTGAGGCCAAGGAAGGAGAATCACTTGAGCCCCGAAGTTTGAGACCAGCCTAGGCAACATGGCAAAACCCTGTCTTTACAAAAAATTTTAAAAAATTAGCAGGGTGCAGTGGCACGTGTCTGTGGTCTTAGCTACTCAGGCAGAGGCCGAGGTGGGAGGATGGCTTGAGCCAGGAGGCGAATGTTGCAGTGAGCCGAGACTGCACCACTGCACTCCGGCCTGGGTGACAGAGTGAGACCCTGTCTCAAAAAAAAAAAAAAAGAAAAAGAAAAATTAGAATATATAGGCTGGGCGCAGTGGCTCGTGCTTATAATCCCAGCACTTTGGGAGGCCGAAGCAGGTGGATCACTTGAGGTCAGGAGTTTGAGACCAGCCTGGCCAACATGGTGAAACCCCGTCTCTGCTAAAAATACAAAAATTAGCCAGGAGTGGTGACATGTGCCTATAATCCCAGCTACTGGGGAGGCTGAGGCACAGAATCGCTTGAACCCAGGAGGCAGAGGTTGCAGTGAGCTGAGATCATGCCACTGCACTCCAGCCTGGGTGACAGAGCGAGACTCCATCTCAAAAAAAAAAAAACAAAAAAAAACCTTACAATCTACCTGCCAGGTAGCATAGGTGAGTACACACCTGCAAGGGAACTGTGTTCTGCTTCCATTACTGAGTACAGAAGCCGAGGGGCACCGTGTAGCGCATGACCATTATGCAGCATGATTTTCATTCAGTAAGTGTGTGCGGAGGGCCCTGCTTACCCTGGGACTGCCCTAGGAACTAGGATAGAACAGTAAACAGGCATCATCGTGAAATAATAATAATGGTGATGATAATCATAGCTACACTTATTATGCATCATGTGCAAGACACCGTGTTAAGAGCCTGACATGAATCATCTCCTTGAATTCTCACGCCGTCCTTGAGAGGTAGTGCTAATATTATCTACTTTTACTGGTGAGAGACTTGAGGCCCATGAAGGTTAAGTCACTTTTTAAGGCCCCACGGTTAGGAATTCGTGAACTAATAAAGGCTAATCTACCCCCTCAGTTTCCTACCTCTCCCTATTAGTGGCTTCTCATCTGATCAAAGGATGGGAGAGCTTTACGTTGACCTAACAAAAGGATCTTAGTAAATTATAATTCCTGCTGGAAAGGAATTATAAATATAATTCCTGGAGGGGATGTCCCACTGAAGATTCAAATTATGATGCTGTTATTTAGCTTTGTTCTGATCAGAGAAGTACTGCAGGTCACCCTGGTCATCTTTTGGGAGGGTAGCATCCCCTTGAAGATGTGCTTGGAGGGTGGCCCATGGGTTTCTGCTGCTGGAAAGATGAGGATGGAGTATCGTCAGACTGATTCAAGCAGCAGAAGCCCCCTCGCCTGAGCTTAGAAAACCTGAGCAGAGGCCCCAGGAGCATCTGTCATTAGCAGGGAGCCTACTCATCCGCTGAGTTCATGGGACTGGGCAGAACCAGCTGTCAATGGCGCCACCGTGTGGTGATGAGAAGCAATGGCAGCTGCCCATGGGTGAAATTCCCATGCTGACCCCACGGGTGTCAAAGTCATCACTTCCTGTGACAGCTCCCTTTGGGGACTGTGGGTCCCTAGGTCTTCTGGAGAATTCAGGGTAAGAGAAGACCCTTTAGGAAAACCTACTGAGTTTTCTGTCAACATCTACTAATGTTCTCCCTGTGTTTGTGAAGCAATTCATATCACCTAAACTTTCACTATGTACCAATACATAAAATATGTATTAATACAATTAGATGTACTTTGTTTGAATAAAAAATAGCACATTGCATCAGCATTAGGCAACTTACTATAAAAATGTGGCTCCGAAACAGTGGAAGAGCTTTCCCTTCACTCTTAGCCCCCATGGCTAGCTGAATGAACCCATTGATTGCCCTGAGTAGGCACAGACGATTAGTTGCAGGCAACGCTGTGTGCCTTTTTAAGGGGCCCTGGTTCCTCGCTGGGACAGGAGCCACTCCTCGCCCCCAGCAACCCATTCATCACCAGCTGTACTCTACTTTGCCCTGGGAAACAGCCGAGCAGATGTGCTTGGCAAGAAATGACTGCTGTGTCCCCCAAGAGCTTTCTTCGTGATGCAAAAGCTACACTGAGCTCTTACGTCTGCAGTCTGTGCTCAGTTGTACCGTGCACAGTTATTGTGCAAATAACTTTCTAACCCTCAAATCTGACTTGCACCAGAGAGGGTCTCCCGGGCCTCCTTTGCAAGGCCTGGCTGCTTCTAGCTGTTTACCCCAGCAGTATTAGCCACTTGCTGTCCCTATTGCCAGAGGGTCTCACTGTCCACACCCCCGGGATGGCCCATTGTCATAACTTACTGTCAATGGTTTCATACTCATCCCCTGCCCAACT